ATGATGGCTTTTCCTATTTTTGTTGTTTTCTCATTAAAGTCGGTTCTTTCACCTAGATTGAAGCTATTTTTCTCTAGAATTTTGTGACTAAGTTTCCACATGGTAGGGGTGAATTTTTTGTTCTAATATTGATGTGTCTGCAAGTGCACAGAAATATCGAAGTAACATAAAAGATTGTCGAACCCATGGAGACCAATATCAACCTACTGTAATCTATTGTCGTTTTGTAAAGCTAAGGCTAATGAATAATTGATTTAGGGGAAACTAAGAACTAAAACTGAAATAAAATAAAGATTAGGATAAATATAAGAAAAGAGAGACCGAAATGTGTATCCTGCGTATCTCAGGGACTCTGTAACTCGTTGACTTATAATAATGTTAAGAACATACTTAGTAGAAAAAATTATCTTAAAGACTAAACCTCACACTCTCGTGATTTTGAATAAAGTCATATTCCTCAACCATGAGATTTTGCTCTCGCTCGCTCATTCTAATCAAGGAACGCATTTTGAAAACTAAACAAGCCATAATCAATACCTAAAGCACTCTCGCCATCTTTAGGAATCGATGCCCCATTTTTACTATCTGATTCGACCCCCACGCTCTCGCAGTGTCGGCTCGAACCTTAATTAATTTCTCACTCTCGTTACAAAATTGTATTAAGTGATTTTTCACTCTTGTGACAAAGCTAATTAAATTGAGTTTAAAAATAAAGACCAAAACATATTTTCCCAATTAAGTTATCAAGCCAATGTGGTTAGCGAGTCTCATCGAAAACGACGGTTCTTACATACCAGACTCAAAACAATTTAGTCGGACATGATTGCGGGAAATATATTGTGTTTAATTAAATGGGCATCTGCAAGTGCATATGCCAGTAAACACAGTCAGTATAAAATTGCAATTGGAACAGAAAACTTCTTTCGACTAAATAAGTGTAGTGACTAATATGTAAATCCGGACTGGAAAATAAAAGTGCATGAATAGTAATAAATTGGAAATTACCATATAATTAAAACTGGAATTAAATTGAATAAGCAATAATAAAATAGACGGATAAAATTAAACCTGAAATTGAAGTTGGAAATAAAACTGAATTGAAATTGGGAATGATGTCAAGATTGCTGAATTGTTGATCCAAGTACACATAAAAAGATCCTAATTCTAAGTTGCCGCAGTCCCTCAACGTGAGAAATTACGGCTTTTACAATAGTCAATTTTTCTACCTAGAATAAAATTCTAAAAACTTCTATCCCCCTGTAAAAACCTCTCATTTCTTCCTTTATATCCCCTCTGCTAGTGACCTAGATTTTCATGATGTTCGTGGAGAAAAATACAGAAAAGTGGCCTCGTGGAGAAAAATCAGGAAGACTGGGCTCGTGGAGAAAAATCAGGAAGACTGGGCTCGTGGTGTGAATTACTGATGTGGCGAGGGCCACACACTATGGCGAGGTCTGCACACTGCAGCGAGGGCCACAACTAAAAAAATGGAAGACATGGCATACTAGCTGCGGTGAGGGCCACAGGGCAGTGACCAGGGCCACAACTTCAAAAATTCATTTTTCTGCTCTTTTCTCCCATTCTTCCAATCTTCTTTGTTTCTTCGCCATTTCTCGTCCTTTTTTCGCTTGTGAGCTTTGTGTTAGAATGTACCTGAAATAGAATAGAAATATTGGCATAACAAGACATAAATAAATGAAAATGATACTAAAATGCATGTGAGTCAAGTCAAATATACGATATAATTTCGCGTTATCAAACTCCCATATACTTGAACCTTTGCTTGTCCTCAAGCAAATACCCAACATGGTAATCAAACTAAACACGGGCTCGAAAAAAAACACGACAAAACTCAAATCATATGTGGTTGCGAGGCTTTTGTTAGATATATAGGTATTAAATATCAACACCAAGGATACCCGTAATGACACGAAATCACAAAATGCGATCAAAAACTCCCACCCTATGCAAACCAATCTGAATCATTCTATTATAACTCAGCCTATTTATTTTGTTTCATTTTACCCACTTTCATTCAAGCACAATCACATTAAGCCATTTATCTATGCACACTCATAGTAAAAAACCAGATAGCGACTATGATCTTTTTTCGCTTGGGGTGCTGGTAACTAAACAGTGCTAACCCCATTTTTCCCAACTACAATTATGGGGGATTAGACCGTGATCCTCCCTACCAAGTCCAGTACCAACGACCTCTGGACCAACTAACAGTGGGTAATTATTATCATCTTTTTGTAGGTTCAACACTCGTTAGGCTAAGTGGTCGGGTGAAGGTCATCAAACTTAGAAGGCGCGTTCCCATTTTCATTTAAATCATATATATTCATTAAAATTAGGATTATTCACTTATATTCATCGATCTCCCTACGTAGAGTGTGCTTAGGATGGTGCTGACTGCTAATATAAACTACTTGGGGCTACTTTAAAACTCAAACTTAAGGTTTTGGCATAATAGGTACTCAATTGATCTTGCATACTTAGGGGGTTTATGGTGTTAAAACGATACCGGTTTTGTTGAATCTTTCCCAAGTCTTTCTAACATATCCTAAAGTGCAAAGCGACCTATATACTCTTAGAGTGTCGTGTCATGCATCAAACCAAAAAATATTTTGTTATGGCTCAAGAAATGGGGAAATCAAATAAATAGCGAAAACCACGCATAAAGACTCGACAACACATGCAATGACTCAACTAACCACGAATAAAAATCTTAACAATGTGAAATACTAAAGAAAATAATAAATCTACCTAAAAACGATAAAGTGAAAACAGTAAAGTTCCTCCCTCACACTTAAACTAAACATTATCCTCAATGTTTCAGTAAAAGTGGAAAAAGGAATAAGAACCTGATCAATGTCCGCCTTGGCAGTTTCCTACAAGCAGCTAATAGGTGGAAAGCGACCGATATCTTTATTTTCTACACACTTAAACAAAAACAAAAACATTAAATGAAAGCCCATGGGTTGCCTCCCATGCAGCGCTTCTTTTAACGTTGGTAGCTCAATGGCTCAGAGTGTCAGCACTCATGGTGATTCGTTCGAGATTCATTCCTCGATCGAATTTTAATAACATTTGGTTTCCATGGCCACTTATCAAGTCATCTCATATATCCCTCACCTTTTCTTTTTTTTTCTTCTATGGGGTGTGTTGTACCCCCAAAATTTGCCCTCCCTTTCCTTCAAGATATTTTTCTAGGGTTTTTCCAGCTGTTCAAGGCTTCTCATGCTTCAAGATATGTCAATTGATTCATCAATGGTTTAAGTCTACAGGTGTAATTTCTCTTGTCCTTTAGTATTGAGCTAGGTTTTGACTCTTGAAGATGTGACACCTGTTGAGATCAAGGTTCGTGTTTCAATGGTTGCACAATATTAAGGCCTATATTTGAGTTTATCTCGAATTAAGGGTGTTGATTCATAATGCTGAGTATGAAAACTCTTTGATAATACATCGTTTGCTTGTGAAGAAAGTTAACTGGAGTTGACTTGAAATCAGGGTTTTGATCCCTTTTTAATTGGATGAATTTTGGAGTCCTTCATACAAGAGTTTTCTTGGGCTTTTATGATGAATCATTTTTTGAGCGTTTAGGAGTTCAAGCTTTCAAATCTGGATATTCATTCTTTTTCAAAAATTCTATTTAGAGACGAATTGGTGTCGTGATGATTCAAACTTTGGTTTCATTCAGCATTCACTAAGGAAGCTTCAATTGGGATTTAATTTCATGATCTAACAAGTTCGATTGGTCCTAGATTTGTCTTCAAAATGCAAGCATTATTCAAGTCTCTATGACCTAAATTCCAGGTGTTTATCATAGACAATGCAAAGATACTAAATTTCTCATACACAAGATAGAACTCTTGAGTTCTTCTTTCAACATTACAAGTTGCATCACATTATTCTTTTTTAGCACATTACATTGTTTATTGACATCTATAATTCTTTCAATATTCAATTTCCAAAAATTTCCAAGTATTCATCACTATTCAAAAAAAGATTCAAACCTATTTTACAAGTCCAAAACAATTTCAACGAAATTATGGTAGTTGGAGGATGTGCACTGATTGCAAGGCCATTAATAATATTACCATTAAATATAGGCATCCCATTTCTAGACTAGATGATTTGTTTGATGAATTGTTTGGTGCATGCTTATTTTCTAAAATTGATTTGAAAAGTGGATATCGCCAAATTAGAATAAGGGAATGGGATGAATGGAAAATTGCTTTTAAAACAAAATTTGGTTTGTATAAGTGGATGGTTATGCCTTTTGGGTTAACTAATGCACATAGTACTTTCATGAGACTAATGAACCATGTGTTAAGGGAATTTTTGGGTAAGTTTTTTGTTGTGTATTTTGATGATATTTTGATTTATAGCCAGAACTTAGATGATCATTGCATTCATTTAATTTTGCAAGTGCTAAAACAAGAAAACTTGTATGCTAACCTATAAAACGTGTCTTTTACACCGATCATGAGATTTTCTTAGGTTTCATTGTGAGCTCTAAAGGAGTCCACATTGATGAGGAAAAGGTGAAATTCATTCGAGAGTGGCCCCCTCCCAAAAATGTAAGTGAGATAAGAAGCTTTCATGGTTTGGCTAGTTTTTATAGGAGGTTTGTGAAGGATATTAGTACCTTGGCAACACCCTCAATGAAATATTAAAAAGGATGTTGGTTTTAAATTGGTTGAAAAACAAGAGCAAGCCTTTGTTCTCCTAAAGGAAAAGTTCATCCAAGCACCTATTCTTGCCTTGCCTAATTTTTCTACATATTTTGAAATTGAATGTGATGCATCTAATATGGGAATTAGTGATATTTTGTTGCAGGAAGGTCATCCAATTGCTTATTTTAGTGAAAAGCTAAAAGGGGATGCCCTGAATTATTATATCTAGGATAAGGAATTGTATTCCTTAGTGAGAGCTCTATATAAACTTGGCAACATTACTTGCTGCCCAAAGAGTTTGTCATTCATAGTGATCACATGTCCTTGAAAAATTTGAAGGGACAAGGTAAGTTGAATAAGAGACATGCCAAGTGGATTGAGTTTCTTGAACAATTTTTCTATGTGATCCAACACAAGAAAGGTAAATCAAATGTTGTGGCAGATGCACTCTCAAGTCTGCATGCATTGCTTTCTACTCTTGAAACTAAAGTGTCCGGTCTTCAGCATATCAAGGATTTGTATGCGAGTGATTCTGAATTTTCTTCTAAGTTTTTCTCTTGTGAGCATGCTGCCCAAAATGGATACTCCAAGTACAATGGCTATTTGTTTAAAGAAAAGGACTATGTGTGCCTAAAGGATCTATTAGAGATTTGCTTGTGCAAGAAGAACATGAGGAGTATTAATGGAGCATTTTAGGGCTTTTAAAACTTTAGATTTGTTGCAAGAACACTTTTATTGGCCTCACATGAAAATTGATGTGCAAAAGTTTTGCGAAAAATGTATTGTTTATAAAAAGGCCAAATCTAAGGTGATGCCTCATGGACTTTATACTCCTTTGCCTACCCCTGAATTTCCTTAGATTGACATTTCTATGGACTTTGTTTTAGGGCTTCCTAGAATAAAGAATGGAAAAGATTCAATTTTTGTAGTTATTGACAGGTTTTCAAAGATGTCACATTGTATACCTTATAAGAAAGTAGATGATGTTTATCACGTTGCTGATCTCTTCTTCAAAGAAGTGGTACGGCTTCATGGGTTTCCAAGGAGCATTATGTCAGATAGGGACACTAACTTCCTAAGTCATTTTTGGAGGACTTTGTGGGGGTAAAGTTTGTACTAAATTACTTTTTTCCACAACTTGTCATCCTCAAACGGATGGACAAACATAGGTAGTCAATAAAACTCTTTCTACTCTTCTGAGAGGCATTCTTATAAGAATTTAAAAATGTTGGAACAATGGTTGCCTCATGTGGAGTTTGCTTATAATAGTGTTGTTCATAATACTACACAATTTTCACCTTTTGAAATTATGTATGGCTTTAATACATTAACACCTCTTGATTTATTGTCATTACCTACCACTTCTCTTTTAAAGCATAAGGATGGAAAAGCTAACACTGACTTTGTAAAGAAATTACATTAGCAAGTTAAAATACAAATTGAGAATACAAATGAGAGGTATGATAAGTATGCAAATAAGAGAAGAAATAAAGTGGTGTTTGAACCTAGATACTGGGATTGGGTTCATATGAGGAAGGAAAGGTTTCCCTTGCAAAGAAAATACAAATTATAGCCAAGGTGAGGTGGTCAATTTTAAGTGCTTTCCAAGATAAATGACAATGCCTACAAGATAGAACATCCAGGTGAGTATGATGTTAGTGCTACTTTCAATGTTTCTTATATATCTCCTTTTGATGTAGGTAATGATGAGGTCAATTCGAGGTCGAATTCTCTTCAAGAGGGAGGGGATGATGAGGACATGGAGAACCAAGACTTAAATGAAGTAATCCAAAGCTTGGGAGATCCTATGACAAGAACACGCGCTAGGAAAGTCAATGGTGCTATAATACAATTTATGAACAAACCAATGGGAGCAAGGGACCAATTGAAAGGAAATGGGCTAAGACTTGTCCTTTTGGTCCAAGCTAATGAAGAGGGCATGTCACGTGGGCTTGTTGACCCATTTTGATGTTTTTAATCAATTATATCGTAATAAAATGTGTTAAGGCTCGTCTTGTCAAATTTTGGCCAAAAACACTTGTTTTTTAATTTTTGTGTATTTTTAAACATTCTAAAGCTCTTCAGAACTTGAGAATTTCATGGGTTTTGTGTTCCTAAGTAAATAATGGGCTAAACAAGTAAATAGTTCAATCTTTGAGGGAGGGAGAAAGAGAAAGGTGAAATGCATTAATCAAAGCGGCTATAAATTACTATTATTCATCAAGACAATGAATATCCACTTTCTCAATTACCTTTAAATGTGTGAACTTTCTTTCCTAAACCATTAATGATAAGTTAGTGGACTGAAGTTGTAGAATTTCTTAAGTTATTATTGTAAGCTATCTGTTACCTATAAATAGAGAGCAAATCATGAATGAAAAAATAAGTTGAATTTTGTTAAACAAACAATTTGTGTAATTTTGATCTTATCAAAAAATCAAGTTTCTTGCGGTGATCCTCACTTAGGATTATCATCATTTCTAACTCATAGAAAGAGTGCGGCGCACCATTTCTAATCTTTTCCATAATTTTTTTCTATATTGTCTTTTACCTCAATTTTGTCCCAATTCATATTACTATTTTAAATTCGCGTGCTACTCTGTATTGTAATAATAGAATCATAAGTTTCATAAAAATAGCACATGACAAAGATGGCTGAATCACAAATCGGTTATTCATTAATATGTTTATGTGAATATCCAAATTCTAACCAATTCACCATTTTCATATCCAAATGTCCATATTAACCATATCATTTATTTTCATTGTTTTTTTTACTAATTTCATTTTTCAGCCTTTAGAATAAAATATAATAAAAAATAGTTCTTTTCAATAAGCAAGACAACCTATTTATCATTACAAAGCATTACAATTGTACATAATACTACATCCATCATAATAATACATCTCACATTTTTACACTATTTGTATAGTTATCATTAAAAAAATAAAGAAAAAATAGAAATTACAAGTATATATTGCACAATCATATTTTACAGTTATAGTACAAATATATAATAGCAAAAAGAAAGAGTAAGGATCTTCTCCATTTCTCAAAAGAAATATAGGTGTTCATTACTATAGTTTTGATGTAAAAATGTGTATTTAATGTCACTATTTTTTGAAATGTACGCAAATATATCTTTTATTTACACCAAAATTATAGTAATGGACACCTCCATTTCTATTGAGAAATGGAGAGAATCCTTACTGTCATATCCCAATTTTTGTCTCTAAGATCTTATATCATCTCATATCATCACAATGCATCAAGATCACACATTTGAGTTGGCTATCTCTTTTGCTCGTTCTCCTATCTTTAAGTTTTCTCTCAAGGGATCGCCAAACACCTTAATTGTGTATCTTGTATATATGTGTTTTATGTTTTTACTAACCTCTAATCAAAATACCAAAAATATTTGCTTTGTTTTTTGTATATTTTTGTTTTGTAGGTATCAAGCCAAAGCACCCAGTCAACAAAGTTTTCTGCCATTTTTCTTCTGAGGAAATCGATTACCCCATATGTGAAAATCGATTTCCCTCACTATTTTTGTGCCAGGATTTCTATTTTTTCAGTGGAAATCGATTACCCCATATGTGGAAATCGATCTCCTGAGGCAAATTTCGAAGAAAAAAACAATTTTTAGTTTTGTGGTATGTGGCTCCAATTTTTTTTGTTGAGAATATTCTTGATCATCCAAAAATAATTCCCCTACCTCATCATAATTAAATTCCACCACACACCTTCATTTGATTACATGTGCACCACTTGATCTTAATTTTGGCTCCAAAAATCAATTATCAAGCCTAATTTTGGTTCCAAACCAAACTCTAAACCACCACTAATCCCAAGCCTAAATTCTATAAATAGAGCCCTAATTTCATTCAATTCTCAAGCTTTTGATAGCCAAACTCACCTTGCTAAAATTCTCTCTACTCTCTTCATCTACCAAAACTCACCCAAAACTCTTTTTCCATTAAAGTTAGTAAACTTTCATTGAAGCTTAGTAATCTTTGAGCTAAACCTTCATCCAAACACTTTTTCTTCATTAATTCTCTAAATAAAAGCTTAGGAGATTGATTCTTGAAGCAAGTTTAGAAGTGGTTTTGATAATTTTCTAGATCTACCTTTGATAAATTGGATCTTTATCTTTCACAATGTGATCTCTTGTTGATCTTTGTGGTTTGATTCTTTGAGAAACTTTTTTTGATTTTGTTGGTGCTAATTTCTCATAATTTAATGTAATTTTCGTGCTCAATTAAATCTATGATTATAAGGTGTTTGTTCAAAAGTTTATCTTTAAATGCTGATTTTTAAAAAAATTTGCAACAAAATCGATTTCTCTCACTAATTTTTGCACCAGGTTTGGAAAATCAACATAGGAAATCTATTCTCCTGTTTGGAGAAATCGATTTCTTGAAGGCAGAATGCAACTTTTGGCTCTGTTTTGTGACTGTTTTGGTTTCTTTTCTTTTTCCTTCTCCTTTCTTTTGATTGTTGCTTTGGATTGCAATTTTGATTGTCCAATTTCTCTTCAAATTCAATGGACCTAGGATGTAGATGAAGTTGGATAAACATTCATTAATTCAAATCTATCTTATAATGAATTATTTAATTCATTCTTGGTGCTTTGAGTTAGTGATATGTTTAGTACTTTAATCCATCAATTATGAGTGATTAAATTTGAAGATGAAATAATTTTGAGGATGTGATCCAATGTGATTTTTCTTTCCCTCTACCTCTTTCCTTTTATTTTTGGTTGATGAAGATCTTCAATATCATTGGAACTCTTGTTAAATTCTTGATGAAGATGGGACCATTCTTTTTTTTTGTGTGGCATTTCTTTTGGAGAATGATCTATATATCATTTCTCTAGCATGTATTAACACAAAGATTGTTATTTACCGACCTCATATAGTATCGACTTCTACATAAGTTCGTCTGCGATTGCTTAACATAATGTTAAAGTTGTCCTCAATCGAAAAATGATAATTCGTGGCCTAAACTTGATGTTTAAAATTCCAAGGATGGTTGATTATTTGACTTTGGTTCAACACATATGAAACTTGTTGTTAAGAGGCTTTGATTTTATCAATCCTCTAATGAGTTTTCATTAACTTTGTCCAATGTTCATTATTCAATTATTATTGATCATACTTTGTGACCTTAACTCCTAACTTACTAATCATTAACAATTAACTTTACTTTATGCCTTTACTTTATACATTTATTTTATGTCTTTACTTTATGTCATTTACCTTTAAACATTTACATTTTATGCTATTTTCCTTTTGCTCACTTGAGCATTTATTTTATGTCATTTCTTCTTTGCTCACTTGATCTTTCTTTTAATTTTAAAGACACTTAATAGTCAACTTGAACCATAAAAGACTTAAGCTCTTCTCGGACTAATGGTTACTATCCCTAGCATATTGGAGTTGTGGATCTCTCAGACTTAGGATTAGAAATCTTGATACATCGAGACCTTGGTGTCTTGTTGTAATTTTGTCTGAAGTCCTAGGGGTTTACACCAAGGCATGGTTTAATTTTTCTGTGTGCAGGTTATTCTGATTTTCTATGTCTTATCTGTGATTGGGAATTCCTCTGGATACAACCGTTACTCTGCCCAATTTTTTTTGAAGACCTTATTTGGTTCTTAATTCATCTGTGGCTTGGTTTTATCTTGGTATTATGC